CCCCCAATATTTCGTAAAGTGTCCGCCACTGGGGAGAAGTTATATGTAAATTTGCAGGTGCTAATTCTGATTCTGATTAGCATTATAAAATAAGAGTGAGGACATGTTCATCGAGAGTAACGTCTGTTCACAGGCTAGGACACGTTGGTTTCTAGAGTATTTCTCACATGGTTAACATTCTCACATTTCTCACGTGGATTTAAGATCATGCACATTATAATATAACTTTATAAGTGCCTCTAAAACGCTGAGAATGCCGTTTCAGTGTACCAAAATTTAAAAAAATATTTCGGGTAGCATGCCTCCGGACCTTCATAGTTTGGAATCCGTCCCCCCCCCCACTTTTTGGGATAGATTGACGCCCTTACTGTCCGTGCTTGCCTGTCAGCATAACTGAAAAATATCAAACTTATTAATACGGAGATGTGTGGGACTAATGGACATTGGATGTATTGAGAAATAAGCAAAAGTTTGTCTTGCTTTGCCGGGCAGAGTAAATTGAAGCATAATTCATGCCTGCATGATGAATAACTTAATTCGCCAGTGCATGGAGATATGGAGTCTTCGAGTGCCCTCTAGTTTATAATCACTTGAAATTTTGCATATTTCCACTCATTGACTGTGCCTCAGAAAGAATATAGAGAATATTATCAACGTCAAATCGAAAGAAATAAAACCGCGGTGAGCAGATCAAGTGTATCTTCAACCTCTCGGTCACCCATTCCAACTCTCACTGGAGTGTAAGCTAACGTGGACACAATTTCAGCAGTACTTTTGCTTCTATTCTATAAACGTTTATTCCACCAGAATATAGTGTTTGACACCTATGAACTGCCCATTTCTCACAGAACAAATTCATGTTTTTCAGTGGTCCCAGAAAATATTTTTTCATTCCTGTTTTTGAAGCGGAACGGAGATTTAGACGCCAGTTGACATGCCAATAATCTATAAAACAACGCACGCCATGGTTCGTGATACTTTTGAGAGAGCTAGCTGTGATTGGGTTAAACATTGTCACTGAAATGGCGTTCGTAGTTCTCTAATAGATCAGGGTTCTCTACACTCTGGTCAACCTAGAAATAGCCCTATTTGGGTAAATTAATATTCCTGGTTAAATTTCCTGGTTGACTCGACCAGGACTTCCTGATTAACCAGACTATGCTGGTGGATAAATAACCAGGTGCTCTAATAGTACATCCACCTAGCGTAGTCTGTACATCCACCTAGCATTTCCGGGTTACATTAACCAGACTATGGTAGGAAATTATATAAAATAAACAGGAAATTTAACCAGGAATATTGTTATTTGTGTAGGTTTACCAATAGGAATATACCAATTGGGCAAATTAAACTCGGATTATCATATGATATACGATGTATGTACATGTTTTTTTTATTGTTTTACAGAAAATAAACGCCATGACATGTTAACGCCCGAGAGTTCACCGATTGCAAGGCCGTCGTTATACGGAAGATTACAAAATTGTTTTTTTAACGAAGATTAATGGGAGTCATGAAAGAATGCTCAGCTAGTGTGTAATTTCCTGGTGTATAATTTCCTGGTTTTAAAAGTAACTATTATTAAGAATGTATCGTATACAGAGTACGCTTGCCATCCAAATGTAATTATATGATTATAACATTTAAAGAACCAAATGCATAACTTGCGTGAATGTATATAAGCCCTTAATTAATTAATTAAAGAGTTATTTGAATGAAAGGTGACTGTCTGTAGTGTATTATTTATTAGTGTATACTCTATGGCATGCGGTGAAGATGGAAAAAGGTGTATGTGTAATTAGCGCACGTTTTAGTGTCGCCATTTGTATTTGAAATAGTGACCAAAGTTCATTTCGGGGTTCATAATCTGCCTCTTATCCAGCCAGGGTTCGTAGTTTCCAAGACCAAAAAAATTCAAAGATTTTTTCTGCCTATTTTGACAGACTTTTCAACTACCTCTGAGAGCAATCAGCTGTCGAAAAATTGCGAGTGTAAGCACCATTTTTACCCCGGTAATTAATCCCGTCAAAGGCTCAAAGCGCATCCTAAAATGCGCTTTTTCGTCAATATTGGCGAAAATCTTGCTTCAATCAATCAATATTATTAACTGAATCATATAATCAAATATTCACTAAAGAATTTAAAGACTTTCTTCGCTTTTTCACACAATTCAAAGACTTTTCATAGATCTGCATTCAAATTTAAAGACTTTCAAGGATTTCAAAGACCGCTACGAACCCTGCCAGGCGCTATGTTGCCGCTATGGCTTGCGTGGCCTTTGCGTGGGGCCGCATGGATTAAACATGTCCCACGCGCGTTTGATCCCCTGAAACAAACCAAAACGTCTGCATGGCCATGAGGCAGGCTCATAACGACTATTGGTTGTTTGAATAAGATACTTGCGAGATTCTGGTTGTGACGTAACATGCATAGGAACAACAATTTCATTTTGTTTCCAACACATTATCGAGTAAGGAAATAATTTGACACTATAGTTATAGGACTACACACGTAAAAAAAACGCACAAGTTGTAACAAACCTGCGTCAGGATGTGTTCTTGTTGATAACTTGCTACAATGTTGTTGAGCTCAACAAGCTTGTTACAAGTTGTTCCAACAACTTGTTATCGTCTTGCAATTCACCAATTTGTTGACAAGTTGTGAGTGACAACCTTGTAACAACTTTATAAAATAACAGAATTGTTACAACTTGCTGACAAGCTTGCTACAAGCCTGTTGCGAACACATCTTGTTGACAAGTTGTGAGATATTTACGCCTGTGTACTGTACTTAGAAATGGCTACTAAACAAACAATATACACAGTCATAAAGCGATACACTTTCCTCAATAGGCAACAAATTGCCATTCTCTTTATTTAATAATCTACAATGCAGTAATGTGTATAACATTAATTCCAATGCACTGCCTCTTACTTCATTTACAAAACCACATCACAATTCACAACCACATTTTTAATTACATTAAAGAAATACTGTTACTTTAATAAAGTTTATTACTGCTTCTTCTTTAAGTTACCACTGGCCATTAAGTATATGGATGCCAGACAAATACCAATGCCTGCAGCAGAAGCGATCATGCACGACCTAAAAATACATGTTTGAGACATTTAATGATATTCAAAGACATTTTGTTTTGATCCGAAGGTGAATACCGAACAAGGATATCCAGAGCCGAGCAAGCAATGAAATGCGGGAAAAGCACTATCTGTCTATCCCCTTCCAAGCACAGTATATGCTAATACACCCTTTCGATAATTACGTCACACATAGTTTTTGTCTTGGTGATTGGCTCGCGATTCATGAGAGCGAGGCTCCCAGGCCAAATGACGCAATTATCGAAAGGGTGTATTGTCAAATCTTTAGATCGTAAGATCTCATTTCTGGTAGAAAAGCTTATATAAGTATATACAAGTATAGTCATTACTATAAACAGTGCTACTCAGGTAAGTAAACTAACATATTAGACTTATAGTGGACAATTAGATAACCTGAGAGAGGAATGCAGAGTGGAATCTGAAAACAATTCATGCAAGCTAGTATTTAGGGAAAGAAAAGATATTCTTACAACTACGTTTTAGGGGTTAGATGTCAATTGGGACGAGAGTCTTTCTTTCTCCTGTCAAGATTTGTCTAATCTGTCTTTATTTGTCTTTAATTAGTTTGTGTCATGTACAAAGTGAAAAATTCATTATATTATATTATATTATACTATAAATTATTATTACATGGAATATACAGAAATATACTGTATGGTTTGACAAAACTTAAAAAATTCTTGCAAGGAAAATTTCCCCTCCCTCCCTCCCTCCCAAGATATCTGATGGTCCACCCCTTACACTTAAGTGAGCTACACGTGGATAACAGACTGTCATTTTTTACACATAGTGGACTAAAGCTTTCCTCTGGGTCCGTTAGTACACGCGGCCACATGAGTGACATGTTTTATCACGCACACAGATTTTGCCTCAGGCTCAGCCCTCGCAATTTGCCTCAGCCTTCGGAAATTGCCAAGACAAATTAAGAATTTTACCGTTTCCCTCGGCAAAGTATCGCTTGTTAAATATTCTAACAACTTTGAAACAAACAGGTTATATATACTTCATAGAGCTAGAAAAACAGAGGGTCATTGGACATTGAGGAAACCAGAACCACAGGATATTTCCGTTATAGGCCTTATGGAACATAAATGACTTTTATAGAAAACAGGCATGAATCTGGTAAGTGGATGACTGAAGCCTGGTTCACATGCACTGGCAATTCTGTCGGCGATTTTTCTACTCAGTCTCCTGGGAAATATGATGGAATAAATGACATGCAAAAATAATTGTTTACAGTACTTCTGAAAATCGACTCTATATACTTTTGTGTGCAAGTTCACCCATTTGCATCCGTCAGAAACGCAAAATCGCAGACAAAATTGCTAGTGCATGTGAACCAGGTTTTACATGTAGTTATATTACGGTCACACGGGGCAGGATGAATTCGGAACAGTACTCAAATTCGTCTGGTTCTACATGTTCAAACGGAACCGGATTAATTACGAGACGAAAAGTGTTCACACGGATATGGGTAAATTGTACACACGTAAAAATCTCACAACTTGTCAACAAGATGTGTTCGCAACAGGCTTGTAGCAAGCTTGTCAACAGGTTGCGACAGTGCTGTTATTTATCAAGTTGCTACAAGGTTGTCACTCGCAACTTGTTGACAAGTTGTTGAATTGCAGGACGATAACAAGTTGTTGGAACAACTTGTAACAAGTCTGTTGAGCTCATCAACCGTGTAGCAAGTTGCGAACAAGCCGTTGACTACAGTACTTGTTGACAAGCTGGGAACAAGCAGTGCAAACACATCGTGATGACAAGTTGTTGAAACAGCATTGCTATTAGTCCGCTGCAGGTTTGTTACAACTTGTGCGTTTTTACGTGTGTAGTCCTGGTGCAGGTATTTACGTTCATGTGCGCAGATGGTCTCAGTCAGTCTCAATTCCAATCGTCTATCATGCAAAATGTTCCTAAAAAAGACTGGTTCCGCTGTTCACATGGCACGTCTAATTTAGGAGCCATTCCGGTACAAAACGAGACCTATTTGGTCTCGAATTCGTAGGGTTTCGTCCGGTTTCATGCGTCCCGTGTGAACGCAAGGCGAAATTAAACGCACGAATTTGAGTATGGTTCCGAATTCATCCGGCCCCATCCGAGCACTCAACGAGGTTTTCAAAATAATTTCAAGTAAGTGGCTATGGTGAGAAAGTAGGCGGTTGTCCGTAATTAAAGGAATCATTTGATCTACAGTAGGTAAACAATTTTTGACAGTCTTACAAATGTGGTCGCCCTTTTTGCCCAGATTTACTTGATTGATTTCTAGCCATAAACGCAATGTAATATACTGTACTGTAGGACTCATGGCCATAGAGGGATTTTGTGGAAGTGCAGGGGTGCTACCAATAGTAGCTATAACCCCAAACAAAATGTCCACCCCTCCAAAAAAATTTTCAACCCCCCCCAATATTCGGCATAATATAAAATAATTAAATAGTCCACTCCAACGTGCAGAGTGTTGATGATACAAAATAAACGTAGGAGTACACTCAAATAGAAAAAGACGCAATACTCTGAAACTAATTGCTCCTCGCTTGCATTCACTGGTTTATTGGACCAATTGTAAAGTTTTGAAACTCTATTATCTCCCCTGAATAGAGTTTGCAGTGCCTTGTCATGCAAATAGCTTGCTTGCAAAGAACGTTTGGAAATTTTACGAACATTATTTTTAGTTTTAATTCTTTTAGGAAATAGTCTTGCCTAGATTTAATCTTTACGTCCCAAATATTTTTTACATCGGAGTTGCATCATAAATTGTACTCGGATTCAAACGACACAATGTCAATGATTTTATAAAAGTAAAAGCATATTGTGTATTGGCCTATTGGGTTTACACTTTTACAGCTTCATTTAACTTTAACTCTCTCAAGTCTCAACAGACAATCGGACAGGCCAAATCCATTGATATGACAACTTCAAAAAACTTTTTTCGAAGCTAGAAATCATGATTTTTTCAAATTTTTCCAGGGATACTTTGTTTTCTGCTCTCTAGACTTCCACTCGCGGCTCTAGTGCTCCACCTCTAGAATATAGCCCTTACTGGGGTTTGGTGACACTTTGTGTTGCTTCAGTCACCTGCTCGCGGCTCACCACCCTAAAATTTCTGGCACCACCGCAGTCAAAAATATGAAAATCCGTCTATGGCTCAGATTGAATCTTCACTCAATTAATGTTAGTGAACTTTTAGAATTTTTGGATGCTCAGAATGCAGGAAATAGCATTTCCGGGTTTCAAATTTCAAACATTTTCTGAGGATTATCCCTCTAATAAGCCGATAAATTACAGTTAATATTCTTTTTTACTTTTTGCGCATTTTTTCCATCTTTTACTTCAAATACAAGTATAGTTAGCATAAATTTTAGAGCAAATTTGGATGCTCAGAATGCAGGAAATGGCATTTCCATGCTTCAAATTTCAAAATTTTTCTGGGGGAATACACCCCCACACACCTGACCATTGTTATCCTCCTCTAATAAGTAATGATAAATGATGGTTATTTTTTTTTTACTTTTTGTGCGTTTTTTTCTTTATTTATTTCAAATACAAGTATAGTTAGCATAAATTTTGGACCAAATTTGGATGCTCAGAATGCAGGAAATGACATTTCCGGGATTCAAATTTCAAAAATTTTCTGGGGTAGTACCTCAGATCCCCCCCCCCCATTCATGCGTGGTATATTGCCCACACATGTGGCCTTCAGCCATTGCTATCCCCCTCTAATATATTATCTCACGGAAAGGTCCCTTTCCCCCCCCCACGGGAAAATCCTTAAAAAAGGCCCTGGTGTTGCTTCAGTCACCTGCTCGTGGCTCACCCCCCTAAAATTTCTGGCACCACCCCAGTAAAAAATATGAAAATCCGCCTATGCTCATGGCAGCATCACGTAGCTAAAATCCGTTTCGAAAAATTATGTTAATTTATTAATTAAGAAAACCCAAAACAACCATGCAGTTTCAGGTGAATGGGGTTTTGGAAAGAATACTATTACACTGTATACTGTATTACTATTATTATTATTAGCATGACAAAATTACTGGATGCTGATTGGTTGAGAGGAGTACAATTAATGATTTTCCCAAAACAAACAAAATGTTGGAAACGTATTTTAAACACAAATGTGAAATGAAATTGCCGTGGAGGAACTAGATGAAAATATGAATGAAAGCACCAAATTTCGCTTGAACAAAAGAACTAAATGAAAATACAAACAAAAGCACCAAATTTTGGTTGAAAGTCTGGCAGGACTGGGCTTTGGCGAGAGAATATGATGTTGACATTGAGAAGTACGTATACAATTTTGTCATGCTAATAATAAACAAGTACTCGCCCCAGCGGCTCGTCCAATTTTGGCAAAATTTCCAAACATCACGAGTACTATTAATCCCTAATTGTATCCCCCATCGCATGATTACCTATACTTAGTGCAAAAAATTGAACTGTGAATTTTGTACATCTATTAGACCTATTTTACAAAAAATGCAACTAGAGGCCCTCCAGCGCAGCGCCGAAATCGCAGGGCCACAGGTTTGATTCCAGCCAGAAGGCCTATATTTGCACTTTTTGCAACTGCTCCTGGTTAGGTGTAATCAATGCATAAAATTCATACTCAAAATTTCCATGTACAATATCCATCTACAATCAGTTTCAAATCACTTTACAGACTGAAGTTGATCTTTGCAATCAAGATTTTTGTGGCATCTCACTCGAATGAATATATTTGATGCCTTAATTGGGTATTGTTATAGATGCAAATTGTCAAGTGGAAGTGTATATACATTTATTCGATTTAAACAGGAACAGAAGCGGAAAATGCAACTTTGGGTAAAGTTGTATTTTTCACTTCTGGAAGTCTAATAAATGTATATAAATTTCCACTCGACAATTTCCATCAAATATTATTCATTCGAGTAAGATGCCACAAAAATCTTGATATTTACCCATAACCTATACATGATCTTTATGTCTCACACAGTATATTTTAAAGAAAGTAACCAGTAATACATTAAACTTTGGTTGGCGGAGCTCGGGCAGTCACTGGCTATTTTTAAAAGCCCTGTTCATTAACACATTAGATTTGGCAGAGGAAAGGTTCAATGTCTAAAACAGACCTGAAATGCCTTTCTCAAAAAAATATTTTAATTTGTAACATCACAAACCTGTAAATGAATCGGTCATTTGGGCCTTGTAAGTATACTGGCAAACCAGGTGACCTCTACAGATAAATTAAAGATAAGAAAATGTTATACAGTAACAACAATCAAGACTATTAAATAGGAATAACAATACTCATTACTCAGTCATCGTTAAATCATCTTATATAGTAACTGAATCTCAGTCCACATATGTCATGTATAGTGTATACAGAGGAGAAGACTGTGGAATGAGTTAGCCATGGTCATGTGGTACAAACCTAGTTCTCTGATTGGACAAGTGTTGTGTGAAATATATAATAATTTGTTTTTGTACTTTATCAATTCCTCCTTTTTTAATTCAGTTACAGGATAACTATTGCTTTTCTGCTTATTTGAAAGGTAGTGAGTACTTTTAGTTATTAACTTTACAGACATCTATTAACCAAATGTGTGGCAGCACTCTCCCCTTGGCAAATAAAATCATCTGGTGTTAGACAGTGAGAGTAAAAACTAGAAAATACATGCATGCAGAAACCCTCGCCTTGCTGACAAAACCGTTGTATTTTCCGAACATGAAGTATCTAAAGTAGTTGTCATGGTAACACAATAATTTTTTAAGAATATTCTTACAAATGAAAATCGCCTAAAAATATCACTTTTAATTACAAAATTATCAATTTCCCAACATATTCATGTTAGGTATGTAATTATACGTAATACAAGCTTCAATTTAAGGTAAAATTCAACCACAAACAATTCACAAAACGTTTTAAAGTGTTCTTTATAAAACTAAACTGCCTTTAACTATTAAATGGCTTTATCGATAAACTTTGAGTTTGCAATAAAATGATTTCAAATTCTCGCTTGCAAATAACTTTGCTTTATTTTTTATTTAAAAAATTCAATATGATAAAAAAGGGAATCAATATTAAAGATACACTGAAATTATATGCTGTCTTGTTTAGTTGTTTCATATACGCAAAGGCCGTCGGGTTTTAAAGCCATTATAAAATCAATATTTAAAACAAACTTACCTTCGTTAACGTCGGCTCCCTTCTTTTAGCGGATTCTTTCGCCCTTTCTTTCTTGAAATTTACAAAATCTTGCAGAAATACGAGCAAAAATGAAGAATATTTGCAAGAAATTTATCAATCATCAACTCATCAAATCAAGAAATGTCAAATGTTTGCTATTTCGCTGTCGTCATGCAGCCGTTATAATGCAAACTTTAAATTGGACCAATCAGTATCTGCTTTTAATGACAGTCCGCCATATTTTTGAGATCAGTGAGGATGACCACCCATCGTTGGTGACCGACGCCCGCGCTCATTGATGAACTTCAGACTTCCCTAATGCTTTCGTTTCCCCGGGTGTAAATAGCCGGGGGGAATTAGTACCCTCGCACGGCGCTTCGCGCCGCCGGCTCGGGGATAAGGTAGGGCACATTTCCACATGAAAACTACAAAGTAAAAATCTATATGTATATCCCAGCATATCTAATTGATGAAAATCAATAATCTGAAATCCAATTATAGATAAATCAATGACAAATTGGCAATTGTTATTGGTTTTATTGACTTTCATCCACTATCGTGTGCCCACATTTAGGTAGCATCAGAATTCATGGGAAGTGAGTTAGGCAGCTTTCGACAAGATCCCAGGGGCACAAATTAGGGACAAGGATGCAAGTGTCTTGCAAAGAACATGTCAAGAAACAGTCACAGGCACAAAAGCTACCACATGATGATCAAAACAATTTGGGGCACATTAGCGTCTGAAAATTTCTGGGGTGGCTCCGACCCAATGTGGAAAATTTGTATTGCACAACCAGTACAGTAGATCGGGCGTGCAATTTTAATGTTTCTATATATTTAAGATTAACTTTTTGAAACCTTGGACACGCAATTTCAGACTTTCCAGTCTGGGCTCTGACCAACTCTGCAGTCTGGCAGGCAAATTATAAACTTTCAATCGATGAAAATCATTTTTACAAGAACAAAATAAATACAAATCAATATTCAATCGATGAATGGTCATAACAATACCAGTCATGGATTTTTCATCGATTTCCATTATCAACTGACATCGACTAATGTTGATTTTCATCGACTAGCCATCACAACAGGAAATTTATATACTGTACAAATACATATTCTGGCAATGATGTCAAGATTTCCAAGTGATGAAAACGTGTGCATTTTGTGTACAAACAGACTTTATTTTATCACTACAGATACCTGAAATAATGACTGGTAATAAGATACTCTGTTCGGTCGGTTTACCGACAGTCCAGCAGAGTTAACATCTTGTTCAACACGACGTAAATACAGCCGTCGAACAGCGTCCATTTTATTTTTTTGAGAGGATGTGCTTCCACTTTGTCAAGAAAGAATTTCCTATTTTCCTTAGAGTTCTCAATCTCGTGGGCCGGTTGTTTAAAAAAAGGGGAAGTCAAGTCCGTAATGTAAACAAACGGTTTGTTTACATTTTGAACTGCTGTATTTTTTAAAATATGATGTACTGTCTGAATATCTGATACCATTTTGGTTCGCTATGCTTCTAAATGAATATGAAATAGAGCTTATGTTCAGAAAAAAACGAAACATTCGAAATTTGGGCAATGTTCACATTAGAGGTCCTCACATTGTTATGAGCAGAACCGATGCGCAGAACGGACTTGACGTCCCCTTTAACTACATATAGTTAGTGGAAACGTCATCCAATAAGAAGCGCGTATTTGAGAGTTAATCACTATTTAACTACAAAATAGTGATTAAAAAAGTGGTTAAGAGTTTTACTGGCAACCGGCCCCAGGTGTTGGAATATTGATGGAACAGGGTTGAACAAAGTTGTGCGTCCTTCTCTCCTACGAGTCGATCAATATTAGGGACCGTTCATTATTTATGTCTCAGGGGGGCACCGTGACTTTTTCCTGTTCTTACATTTTTGCTCTTTCACTCGCCGTCGTTTCCTTTTTGATTCAAAATTAGAGAGATCTGCACTAGAATATCGTTTGTTGAGCTGTTTAGCTGTATTTGCAACATCGCCCCAATCATGGTTACCTTGGACATCAACTCAGATACTTCTTAAATGAATTGGCTTACAACTTTATTTTCATTTTCTGGCCACTTCTTCAGCTCCATGTGGCTGTCAAGCTCGACGTTCCTGTTTTACAGTTGCTCCAGAAGCCCCTTAGGGAGTGGTCATATTTATGGGGAGGGGGGGTTGGGAAATGGGATGGGGGGGGGGGCAAACGAAGTTTTACCCTTATAAATAGGGGGGTCAAAAAAGTTTTAACACAGAGAAAGGGGGGTCATAAAAGTTTTTGATTTCTATAATCACAAATAGCAAAAAAGAAGACTCTGAAAATGCTATTTCCAACGATCTAGAGACTCAAAATGTTCAAAATTTCCCTGCTCGGCGCCAATCATGGTGGCGCCTCGCGACCGTTGAACCCACTAAGTTTAACAAGCTTTCTACCCCCTGAGTGACCCAGTTGTGGTATTTACATAAACATACCATGCAAGTACACTTAACTGATCAGATTCGGTCTATCAACGCACAATGTAACGCTGTATATCCAAAAATCTGTTTCAGAAAATGCTCACATTTCAGTTCTAGGGGTGGAAAAATACAAAAAATTTTCTGGGGGAGAGTAGTACATACGATACCACACCAAACATTTTTGTCACCAACAACCATCTGTCACCTCTCCACACTCAATATAGTATGGTCCCTTTTTGTAGATGCCCACCCCAGACAAGTTCTTAAAAAAACCCTGTGTTCAAATCATTTCGCTGTATGAAGATGGGTCATGGGTTAGGGTTATGGTAGGACAAATGTTGCATTGCAAAGTAGTAACACATAATATATATTTTTTAATCATATATGGTTCAATCATATTCACCAGGGTAAAACATCATGAGCTAGATTAAACAGATTGTCCTAATATCTAACTTTACCTGCAATGCACACCTGTTTCATTGCTGTTAATTTTTCAATCCACACTGGGGGGTGGGGGTCAGAAAAGTTTCTACTTTTATGAGGGAGGAGGCACAAAAAGTTTGCCTTCAGTCTGGAGGGGGGGTCAAAAAGTTTTCAATCCTTATTTTCCCCATTTCCCAACACCCCCCCCCCATAAATAATGAC